CATTATGCTGTACGAATGTGTTCCATACTCGAGTCATCCTGGGTATGTATGATCTCAGATTGAGTGATGTTCTGGAGAAGGGTACAGCCAGAGTGAAGTTGCTGCTTTCTGCCCGTCTTGTGGTATAGAAGCTTGGTTCTCGCTGTCCTTGAAGTGGATCCAAGTGTAGTACTTTTGCAATATTGGCCTTGTACATAACAGTAAGGCCACCCACATCCCTCCTGTGTTGAAGGCTCTGCTGAAATAACATCTATCCAGGATGGGTCCAGGCGAGAGATGAGACGTCTTGCTCTGTTCTCTACTCTGTCAAGCAGTCGCAGATAAGGGGGGGTGGAGGCGAACCGAGAAAGTGGAGCATACTTCGTACAGAATCTTGCAACCCCTACTGTCAAGCAGATGCGAGATACAGCGAAGTGCTGTAAGCTTCCTGGCTGCCTTGTTCGCAAGATTTACAACATGGTTCTTCATGGTCAGTTTGGACAATGTCAGGGGCTCTTCATCCGAGGAATTGGAGGGAAATGTAATTCCTTAAAACAACCCTGATTACCTCCCACTTCTCAGGTGTTGTATGATAATAAGAGTTCAACGCTTGCTCATAAATGTTTTATTAAAAAGAAACAAAAAACCTTGACATAGAATCAATGGTTATCTCTCTCTCTCACTCACTCTCTCTCTCTCTCTCTCTCTCTCTCTCTCTCTCTCTCTCTCTCTCTCTCTCTCTCTCTCTCTCTCTCTCTCTCTCTCTCTCTCTCTCTCTCTCTCTCTCTTCTCTCTCTCTCTCTCTCTCTCTCTCTCTCTCTCTCTCTCCGTCTGTCTGTCTATCTCTCTGTCTCTCTCTCACTCACCAACACTTCCTCTCACTAACACGTTTCTCCCTCACGGACACTTCTCTCCCTCACTGACAATTCTCCCCCTCACTAACACTTATCTTCCTCACCAACACTTTTTTCCATCACCAACACTTCTCTCCATCACCAACACTCCTCTCCATCACCAACACTTCTCTCCCTCACCAACACTTTTCTCCCTGTCGTTGATGTGGTTTCAGCTGTCTTTCTCGACCTTTGAATGTTTACTCTCCTCTTCCTCTCCTCAAAGAGCCTCCATCTCTCCCACCTCCATCCCTCCCACCTCCACCCCGCTGCTCCTCCTTTCCTTTCTCCATCTTCCCTTCCCTTCCCGTCTGCCCTATCTTAAAAGCCTCGCTTTTATGTATCGTATCTGCGTTTGACACTAGACCGATGGGGAAGTAGTGAACATGGTGTTATTGGCAGTTAAGCTCACTGTGTGTTGCTGCTTTCTTAGGTGTTAGTGGTGTGATAGTGGTGGTGGCAGTGGTGATCGTGGTAGTGATGATTGTGGTAGTGAAGGTGGTGGCAGTAGTGGAGATGGTGGTAGTAGTAGAGGTGATGGTGGTAGTGATGGTAGTAGTGGTGATGGTGGAAATGGAGGTGACAGTGGTAGTGGAGGTGATGGTGGTAGCGGTGATTGTGGTAGTGGAGGTGATGGTGGTAGTGGTGATGGTGGTAGTGAAGGTGATGGTGGTTGTGGTGATGGTGGTAGTGGAGGTGATGGTGGTAGTGAAGGTGATGGTGGTAGTGAAGGTGATGGTGGCAGTGGAGGTAATGGTGGTAACAGAGGTGATGGTAGTAGTGGAGGTGATGGTGGTAGTGGAGGTTATGGTAGTAGTGGAGGTGATGGTGGTAGTAGATGTGATGGTGGTAGAGGAGGTGATGATGGTAGTGCACGTGGTGGGTGGAGGTGGAGGTGGAGGGTGGTGGTGGTGATGGTGGTTGTTGGGGTGGTGGTGGTAGTGTGTGGTTGTGATGGTGGTTTGCATGGTGGCCGTGGTGGTGGTGACGGTGGTTGTTATGGTGGTGGAAGTGTGTGGTGGTGATGGTGGTTGGCATGGTGGTAGTGCGTGGTGGTGATGGTTGTTGTGTCTGTGGTTTGTTTGTCCTGTAGAAAGTCTTCCGACTCACCTGTCTTAAGTGAACATAGGGGCTACACCATAACAAATGTCTAAGAGCCGAAACGAGTGCCTTGGAAGGAATTAGGCACAACTAATAGGAACCTCCCTAAAGGAGGAGGAGATATCTTCCTGGTGTTACAACCAGGAGGACAGCTCTGTCTTCCTGGCGGAGGAGGAGGACAGAGCAGAACTACCCGACTTATTCTCAAGCATTGCTGAGACCAAATTCTCTACCGTGGGGCAATCCCAGTGAGACTGTTTGTAGCATCAGTCAGAACTGGGATGCCTAAGGAGCTTGCTGGAGTATCCCGCTGCCTGGCTGCGTCAACGAACTTTGATCATGAACCCTAACAGAGTGTCGGAGACGCTCAGGAATAATCTCAACCACTAATTCGTTAGACGCCACACACGAGGACAGGAATGCAGGTAATGCTATCTCTGTCGCCTCGCAGGTACCTATTCCCCCAAGTCTAACTGGAAGTGAAAATGAGTCCTTAATGGAATGCTTGACGATATTCTCATTGCCACACTGATGTCTCCCACCAGAGGCCGACAGGTTTCAACACTAGGAAACCCATGTCTCGGAGTATTATATATATATAAATTATTATATATATATGAATGAATATAATATATATATATAATATATATATATATATATATATATATAATATATATATATATATATTATATATATATAATTATAATTTATATATAATATATATATATATATATATATATATATATATAATATATATATATATATATATATATATATATAATTTATATATATATATATATATATATATATATATATATATATATATATATATATATATATATATATATTGTATATATATACATTTATATATATTATATATATATATATATATATATATATATATTATATATATATATATATATATATTATATATATATATATATATATATATATATATGCCGTTCCTAATAGGTAAAATTGGTCAATTAGCAACAACTCATTTAAAATTAAAACCTTTCTAAAATTTTCTCTTCTACTTTTAAAGATATATACTTTTTCATTTATGTTAATGTAAAAATTAATAATTTTGTATCAAGAGAACCTTAGAAAACTTACCTAACATTATTATAACAAGCTCAATTTAATTTAGCGTAATCCAACTAAATATATTTTAGATAAGGGTACAGTAATTTAATAACAAACAAATGCAATGACATATTTTTTTCGTTGGGGCCAGAACGATTTTTGCGAAATTATTGTATACGCAAATTTTCAATTGCGTTATTCGGCAAGAAAAGCGTTGCAATTTAAGCCAAAAACGCAAGTTTTGCCTATGCGGCACGACATATATATAATAAAGAGCAGCTTTGCTTAATGTTTAAAAAAAAAATTCCCAATGAAAATACAGTTGACAAATAAAATCCATCAAGAGAGTTGCTACTGCCAGTCATGTGAGTGAGAAAGTTGACGTATATTAAGTGTTTTATACTCCAGCAGGACTTTGTTTACATTCTCTGTCTAGTGATAATTTAGGGTGGGACTTTAGTGAACTACTAATCTTTACTAATCACTGATATATGGCATTGAAGTTCTTAATGTTATGAGTACCTTCCAGGTCCTTCGGGGTAAAGGCTCGGATTCTAACTCCCGTAATCTTAAGTTTTCCTGGTGACTACAGTGAGTGTAACGAGCTGCTAGTTGCCACTTGTTTATTATGCAATTACTACAAAAAATACGGCATTCTCTAGATGGGTTGTTTGAATGTGAGGATGCAGGATATATATGAAGAAAAAAAATATTTTTATTGTGCAGAAAGAAAGGAAGCATAATATCCGAGCACTGAACAAGGATGTGAGTGGTGGGAAGAGTTGAAAAAGAGAAGTGAGTTGTGTCCGAGACTTCGATTGCTGGAGACGTGCCAGTAGAGTCCAGGGAATAAATAAGGAAAGAAAATAAAGTATATGCATATCTAATTCAAGAATTATGTTGTTAAGAATATACGTGTAATTGAAGGTGGAGTACACATTCAATGTTTATCAGTCTGGGGGTGAACTGTGTGTAGAGATTCTCAAGGGTTCTCATTAATATTATTGCTATTATTGTTGTTGTTATTATTATTATTATTATTATTATTATTATTATTATTATTATTATTATTATTATTATTATTGTTATTATTGTTGTTGTTGCTGGCGGTGGTGGTAGTGTTGTTGTTATTATAATCTCGGGAAGTGATAAAAATGTAGAGGGCGCTGGAGCGTTTGTGAAATGGGTGATAATCAGATTTGGGAAAGCGGTATCCCTTAAGGGGTGTCCTAAAGTCTTAGGTTGCGATTCATGAGCAGAGTGAGAGCGTAACTTTTCAGAAAATTTAATGGTAAAGGAAAGTCACGGGTGTAGAGTAAGAAAGTAAAGGGAGGAGAGTAAGTCTTCACATCTAACACAGAGTTTACAATGAAATACCAGATGTTACGCGTACAGTGGGAACACTCTGGTAGACTATCAGCATTCAATTACTCGCAGATAGTCTAGCAGATAGTTGGCTAGACTATAATCGTTCATTAACTAGCATGTAGTTTAGCAGATAATTTGCTAGATTATCAACGTTCATTCACTAGCAAATGCTTTACTAGACTGTCACTCGCAAATAGACTAGCAGACAGTTTGCTAGACTATCAACATTCAATCACTCACACATAGTCCAGCAGATAGTCTGCCTGTCAACGGTCATTCATAGGCAACCCTTTGAAGAGTCTCGCTTTGATGACAGCGAACGAAAAATTTGATCAATATTTTACTGAGGTGAAAAAAGAAGACACAAAGGTGGCAACAACTGTTGGGATGAACGATGACTGTTCACCTCTGGAACGACAACTGTTGACTGAACGATGGTGAACGAGTTAACTTCATTGGGGAATGAAGTCAATACTGTTAATTGACACTTGCACTAAATGAGCTCAGCTTGGAGAGAAGTGAGAGAGAGAGAGAGAGAGAGAGAGAGAGAGAGAGAGAGAGAGAGGTACTTACTGGCGACGTGAGTAACGTTGGCAGGCTCGGTGCAGCTGACATGGTCGGCATAAAAACTAACCATGACGATCCCTCGATTTTTTTTCTGCAAGAGAGAGAGAGAAGCGAATGTGTTAGACTGGTATCCCTTTCCTCACCTGTCCTCTCACACGGGTGTTAAACTGGTATCCCTTACCTCACCTGTCTTCTCACTCATTTGTTAGACTGATATCCCTTCCCTCACTTGTCCCCTCACACATGTTAGACTGGTATCCCTTCCCTCACTTGTCCCCTCACACATGTTAGACTGGTATCCCTTCTGTCACCTGTCCCCTCACACAGGTGTTAGACTGGTATCCCTTCCCTCACCTCTCCCCTCACACATCTTAGACTGATATCCTTTCCCTCGCCTGTTAAATTCGTGTCCCTCCCCTCACCTGTCCCTTTACACAGGTGTTAGACTGTTATCTCTTCCCTCACATATCCCCTTTAACAGACGTTACACTGGTGTCCTTTGCCTCATGTGTCCCCTTACTTAGGTGTTACACAGGTGTTCCTTCCTCCATGTGTCCTTTCACACAGGTGCTTTACACTAGTGTCCCATCCCTCATGTGTCCCCTCACACAGGTGCTATTCTGGTGTTATTCCCCTCACCTATCCACTTACACAGGTATTACACTGCACTGGTGACCTTCCCCTCACCTGTTCCATCACACAGACGTTTCACTCCTCTAGTGTCTCCTCCCCTCTTCTGTCCCCTCACACATGTCTTTGTTTCTGACACACACATACATACATACGCACTCACACACTTGCGCACACACACACACACACACACACACACACACACACACACACACACACACACACACACACACACACACACACACACAAGGAGGCCAAGACAAGAATATGATGAGAGTAAGAGATCGATGGTTGATACACTGGCTGAAGTGGCCACAAGGTCCCTTGAGGGCAGGGCAAAGCTTCAGGTTATGGGTGACTTCGGTCACATAGAAATTGGCTGGGAAAACCTGGAACCACATGTGGGTCCAGAAACGGGGAAGGGTACGATGATGGAGGTGGTACTGGAAAACCTCATGCGACATTAGGGACACTGACACAGAGAGGGGAGAGGATAAACCAGCAAGATTGGACCTAATATTCACCTTGAGTCTTGCAGATATTGAGGACATTACATTTGAATGGCCCCTTGGAGCTATTGATCTGACCCTCGAATACATAACAGAGATGCTAATGGAGAGGGAAGCAGGAAGGGCAGAGCGGAGGAAGCCAAACTACAAGAGAGCGGACTACACAGGCTTGAAGAACTTCCTGCACGAGGTTCAGTGGACAGAGAACTGGCAAGGAAATCAGTAAATGAAATGATGGAATGTGTGACAACAATATGCAGGGCAGCAGAGGAAAGGTTTCTACCCCAGGGCAACAGAAATAATGAGAAGGCCAGAACTATCCTTTGGTTCACCCAGAGGTGTAGAGTGACCAGAGCCAAGTACGCTAGAGAACGGAAGAGGTATAGAAGGCAAAGAACCTCAGGACAATAAGGAGAACAGTCGAAGAGCCAGAAATGAATATGCCCAGGTAAGGAGGGAGACCCAACGACAAAACGAAACGCCGTAGAAGTATGTGAGAAGCTCAACATGAGATTTAAAGAAGTATTCACAGTGGAGACAGAAAGAACTCCTTAAAGACGGAGTTGTGGGGTACAACATCAAGTGCTGGACACACTACATACAACCGAAGAGGAGGTGAAGAGGCTGCTAAGTGAACTAGATACCTCAAAGGCGATGGGGCCGGATAATATCTCTCCTTGGGGTGGGTTCTGAGAGAGGGAGCACAGGCACTCTCTGTATCACTAATGACAATCATCAACACATCTATCGAAACAGGGCGGCTTCCTGAGGTATAAAAAAACAGCAAATGTTGTCCCATTTTTTAAAAAAGGAGACAGACATGAAATATTAAACTAAAGACCAGTGTCACTGACATGTATAGTAAGCAAAATCATGGAGAAGATTATAGGAGAAGAGTAGTGGACCACGTAGAAAGGAATGAGCTTATCAAGAACAACCAGCACAGATTCAGGGACGGGAAATCCTGTGTCACAAACCTACTGGAGTTTCATGACTAGGTGACAGCAGTAGGACAAGAGAGAGAGGGGGTGGGTAGATTACGCTTTTTTTTGGCTATAAGAAGGCTTTTGACACGGTTCCACACAAGGGATTAGTACAAAAGCTGGAGGACCAGGAAGGTATAATAGGGAAGGCACTGCAATGGATCAGAGAATACCTGACGGGAAAGCATCAGAGAGTCATGGTACGTGACGAGGTGTCAGAGTGGGCGCCTGTGACGAGCAGGATTCCACAGGGGTCAGTCTTAGGATTGGTGCTGTTTCTGGCATATGTGAATGACATGACGGAAGGAATAGACTCAGAAGTGTCTCTGTTTATAGACGATGTCAAGTTAATAATTCAATCGGAGGAGGACCAGGAAGGACTACTAAGGGATCTGGACTGGCTACAGACCTGGTCCAGCAAATGGCTCCTGGAATTCAACCCCTCTAAGTGCAAAGTCATAAAGATCCGGGAAAGGCAAAGAATTCCGCAGTTAGAATACAGTCTAGGGAGCCAAAGACTACAAACCTCAGTCAAGGAAAAGGATCGTGGGGTAATTATAACACCGAAAATGTCCCTTGAGGCGCACATCAACCAAATAACTGCTGCAGCATACGGGCGACTAGCAACCTAAGAACAGCATTCCGATATCTGAGTAAGGAGTCGTTCAGGAATCTGTACACCGTGCACAGCAGGCCTATATTGGAGTATGCAACACCAGCTTGGAACCCACACCTGGCCAAGCAACGATATTAATCCCGGAGTTAAGGGGTATGTCTTACGAGGAGAGGTTAAGGAAAATCGACCTGACGACACTGGAGGACAGGAGGGACAGAGGGGACATGATAACTTATAAAATACTGAGAGGAATCGACAAGATGGACAAGGAGAGGATGTTACAGAGATTGGACACACCAACAAGGGGTTACAAATGGAAGTTGAAGACTGAGATGAGTCAAAGGGATGTTAGGAAGTATTTCTTCAGTCACAGAGTTGCCAGCAAGTGGAATAGTCTGGAAAGGGAGGTGGTGAAGGCAGGATACATACAAAGCTTTAAGAAGAGGTATGATAAAGCTCACGGAGCAGGGGGTGACCTACTAGCGACCAGTAAAGAGGCGGGGCCAGGAGCTATGATTCGACCCATGAAACCACAATTAGGTGAGTCCAATTAAGTGAATACACACACAACACACACACTCACACACACACACACACACACACACACACACACACACACACACACACACACACACACACACACACACACACACACACACACGCACACACACACACACACACAACCGGTGAAGAGGCGGGGCCAGGAGCTAAGACTCGACCCCTGCAACCACAAATAGGTAAGTACAAATAGGTGAGTACACACACACACACTCACACACACACACACACACACATACACACACACACACACACACACACACACACACACACACACACACACACACACACACACACACACACTCACACACGAGATTAGTGCAGAAGCTGGAGGATCAGGCGCATGTAAAAGGGAGGGCACTGCAATGGATAAGGGAATACCTGACAGGGAGGCAGCAACGAGTCATGGTACGTGAAGAGGTATCACAGTGGGCGCCTGTTACGAGCGGGGTCCCACAGGGGTCAGTTCTAGGACCAGTGCTATTTTTGATATATGTGAACGACATGATGGAAGGAATAGACTCTGAAGTGTCCCTGTTCGCAGATGACGTGAAGTTGATGAGAAGAATTAAATCGGACGAGGATGAGGCAGGACTGCAAAGAGACCTGGACAGGCTGGACATGTGGTCCAGTAACTGGCTTCTCGAATTCAATCCAGCCAAATGCAAAGTCATGAAGATTGGGGAGGGGCAAAGAAGACCGCAGACAGAGTATCGGCTAAGTGGACAAAGACTACAGACCTCACTCAGGGAGAAAGACCTTGGGGTGACCATAACACCGAGCACATCACCGGAGGCACACATCAACCAAATAACCGCTGCAGCATACGGGCGCCTGGCAAACCTGAGAATAGCGTTCCGTTACCTTAATAAGGAATCGTTCAAGACACTGTACACTGTGTATGTTAGGCCCATACTGGAGTATGCAGCACCAGTCTGGAACCCACACCTGGTCAAGCACGTCAAAAAGTTAGAGAAAGTACAAAGGTTTGTAACAAGGCTAGTCCCAGAGCTCAAGGGAATGTCGTACGAGGAAAGGTTAAGGGAAATCTGACTGACGACACTGGAGGACAGAAGGGTCAGGGGAGACATGATAACGACATACAAGATACTGCGGGGAATAGACAAGGTGGACAGAGATAGGGTGTTCCAGAGAGGGGACACAGGGACAAGGGGTCACAACTGGAAGCTGAAGACTCAGACGAGTCACAGGGACGTTAGGAAGTATTTCTTCAGTCATAGAGTTGTCAGCAAGTGAAATAGCCTAGCAAGTGAAGTAGTGGAGGCAGGAACCATACATAGTTTTAAGAAGAGGTATGACAAAGCTCAGGAAGCAGAGAGAGAGAGGACCCAGTAGCGATCAGTGAAGAGGCGGGGCCAGGAGCTGAGTATCGACCCCTGCAACAACAATTAGGTGAGTACAATTAGGTGAGTACACACACACACGCACACACACACTCACACAACACACACACACACACACACACACACACACACACACACACACAACAACAACGACTCATGGTACGTGACGAGGTGTCAGAGTGGGCGCCTGTGACAAGCGGGGTTCCACAGGGGTCAGTCCTAGGACCTGTGCTGTTCTTGGTATACGTGAACGACATAATGGAAGGGATAGACTCAGAAGTGTCCTTGTTTGCAGATGATGTGAAGTTTATGAGAAGAATCAAATCGGATGAGGATCGGGCAGGACTACAAAGAGACCTGGACAGGCTACAAGCCTGGTCCAGCAACTGGCTCCTTGATTTTAACCCTGCCAAATGCATAGTCAAGAAGAT